GTCAAAATTAGTTTTTTATTGCACATTAAATTGTCATTAATAAATTATTAAGAAAACAAATTGCGTCGTTTGGTGCAATAACCAGAAAAATCTGATTGTTAAATACAGAGATATCATATAAAATATGGAGATGACTATTGTTTTTACACTAAAAATATTTTATTTATTACGCGAATAATTCCATAATATATGTACATACTGTATTATACATGTATATTATAAATAATTAGACATCTCTCGCATAGTCGCATCTCCCCGACTCAAAATTTTATTCTGATAATTGGTCACTAGCCACTGTAGGCTAGAATAGAGGTAAGTGTTTGCCACATGCCCACATATAACGTATACGGTATACAAACAGACAATTTATTAATTGGAGATGTCTTCTTGTTGTTGCTCCCATGTCTTCATTTGTTTAGTACACAATACACATGCACTATCATATTAGGTATATTATAACTTATAAGACTATTCACTTTTAAGTGGACGTGATACCCGCATGTGTTGTCTCCGTCTTACAAGTACATAACATAGCAAATTTTACGCTCAGCAAAACAAGTGTAGCTCCGTTATAATTATTTAACTATACGAAAATATTATTACTAGGTAATTATTAGTAGATACCTAGTACCTACTACCAATTTACCAAGACAATTTTTATCAATAATTATCATTATCGTTTATCGTCGACGGCGGTATGAGATATCCAAATACACATTATTATAGTTTTGAATTAATATATAGATTTGTAAAGAAAACTGAAAAGTTCATTGTTGTGGTGCAACTAACATGACTGATCAGAATGTCGATTATTGAAAAAATCATGTTTTTAAAATACAATTAACAAATTTTTGATTATTACAAATTATTTCAGCACTAAAAAGTAAAAATAATTTTTTTTTGTATTTGAAGATTATTTCAAATACTTCTAAAAAGTATTTGAGTATTTCTCAAATACTTAACTATTTATAGTATTTGGGTGGTATTTTAAATACTTTATTTTAAGAGTATTTGAGTAATTACTTAAATACTTTTAAAAAGTATTTTTTACAACACTGCTCATAGCTAGTTCGTTCGTCTTTTTTACCACGGACTGCGGTAAATTTACACCATGTCGACATGTCCAAGCGAGAATGTTCGCAACTGAGTAGGTACCTACATAGATTTGACCGTAGTACACATCACGGAGAGATTACGGCTGCATACTAGTTGCGTCCCGAAAATATTTACGAAAAAAGGTCTAA